GGATTATTCTAAGCACTTTACAAACATTGACTCCATTAACCCTCATAACAACCTGAGGTAGGCACTATTATTATACCCACGATGGATTTTAAATAGCTGTAAATTCTTTGACATGCCTTCTTCCATCGTGAGATCTAATTTCTCAGAAGCTGACCTGACTTTAGTCACTTATGTGGTTAACAGAATGCAGCAGAAGTAACATGCTGGGACTTCTGAGGTTATGTTATTAAATGTCTTGTTCTGGGGAGAGCCAGATGCCAAGTCAAAAAGCCCAAGTTGGACACATGAAGAGAGAAATACCCAAGCAGCCCCAGCTCTTCCAGCCCCCTGAGCCCAGGTGTGAGAGGCAGGAGTGAAGGAGCCTACAGATAATTCCAGTCCCAGTTACCAGATGATTACAATCATATGACAGATCCCAGATGAGAACCAGTGAGTTCAGTCATCCCCCAAAACTTTGGAAGATAATACTGAAGTATTGTTTTAAGTTACCAAGCTTTAGAGTGGTTTGAAATACAGCAATAAGTGATTGGAATGATACTCACTTTTACAGATGAGAAAACTGAGACACAGAATGTTTAAGTAATTTGTCCAAATCAAAACCAGCTAGCAAGTGGCAGAATCAGGATTTAAGCCCAGGCAGTTTAGCCCTAGAATCTGTGTTCTCAGCCAATAAACTGTTCTGCCTTTGCATCAAAAATTTTACATATACACAGATAAATTTTAAAATTTCTGATTTTTTCTTTCTATATTTATTGGGGATCACATTGGTCATTCCCCCAGAACTGTTATAGTTACAAGAGAATAAGTTATTAAGTCAATCAGGGGCAACATTATAGAAGAGGACATCTAAGCTGGATCTTCAAGGATGTCAGAGGTTATTATGCAAGGAATGGGGAAGACGAAGGCAGTAGAAGTGAAATACTGTGAGGTACAAGGAGAAAGGTGCCAGGAGCTGATGCTGGGAAGGTGTAGAGTAAGGCAGGGAAGGGCCTTTACACCAAAGGAGGCTGGATTTCATCTTATATCAGGGAGCAATTAAAGGTTTTTCAACAAAGGTATAATGTAATAGATAAAAGATAATTCTGGTGGCAGCGTGGCAATAGCTGCAGAGAAAAAGGAGACCTAACAGATAAATTGCTATAGACCAGGTGCAAGAGGATGAATACCGTAAGAAGTGGGAGAAATAGGAGGAGGTGGGCTTGAGAGATATTCCTGAAGTGTGACTGACAAGACTGGGCAACCAATTAGATAACAGGAATATGAGAGAGGCCATCCTCTAAGATGACTTCAATGTCTCTACAGTTTGGCCAATGGGTTGAAACTTTACCTGCAGCTCAAAAATGCTTCAAGAGTCAGTATGTCACCTCCTCTCTGAACACAAACAGGTGTTCAGAGCAAAATCGGTATTGAGGACGAGGTGCAGATCAAAGAAGTCAGAGAACCAAACAATCTGCAGAGCTTCTAAAAACACACATGCCAAGACCAAACCCTCCTCAACCAGAATTCCTTGGGATAGCACTTGGGAATTTGTATTTTAACAAAGTTCCCCCAAATAACTCTGCTTGTTCAAGTTGGAGAATTACTACTCTGAGGGTTCTTCTTAGCCTCTCTGTTCATTGAAGGTTGCTATTTCCCAAAAGGTCTATCCCTAATCATCTTCTCATCCTATGCACTCTGTCTGGACCATCTCATTCGTTTTGTGACCTCAAGTATATCTGAATACTAAGGATTTCCAAATGTAACCCAGGTCTTTCTTCTGAGCTCTCTTCTATTATTTCTACCCTCAGCCTGAACATCCCTACCGGGATACACACTGGCATTATAGAAATAGCCAAAACCCCATATAACATCGTACTTGATGGTAAATGACTGCTTTGCTCCCAACATCATGAGGAAGATTAGGATTTCCACTTTTGTCACTGCCATTCAACATTGTATTAGAGGTTCCAGCATGAGCAATTAGAAAGTCAATAAAAATAAATAAAAAGGTATCCAGATTGGAGAAAAAGTAACACAATTTTTGTTTGCCAATGACCCGATCTTGCATATAGAAAGATCTTAAGAAATCCACTGCCAAAACTATTAAAATTAATAAGTTCATTAAGGTTGTAGGGGACAAGATCAATTTTAAAAATCGTATTTCTATACACTAGTAAAGAATGATTGAAAAATAAAATTAAGAAACAACTCCATTTATAATAGCATCAAAAAATAAAATACTTTGGAGTACACCTAACAAAAGAAGTGCAAATCGTGTACTCTGAAACCTATAAACACTGTTGAAAGAAATGTTAAAAGACCCAAATAAATGGAAAGCCATCCTATGTTCACAGGCTGGAAGACTTAATATCGTTAAGATGGCAGTACTCCCCAAACTGATATACTCATTCAACACAACTAACAAAATCCCAGCTGTCTTCTTTGCAGAAACCAACAAGCTGATCCTAAAAATGACATGTGAATGTAAGGGTCCAAAATAGCTGAAACAATCTGGAAAAAGAAGAATAAGGTTGGATGATGCACATATCCTGATTTCAAAACTTAGTACAAAACTATAATAATCAAGACAGTGGGGTACTGGCATAAGGATAGACATATGGATCAATGGAATAAAATTGAGAATTTAGAAACCTTGACATTGACAGTGAATTGATTTTCAACAAGGATGCCAGAAAATTCAATGGAAAAAGAATTTTTTCAACAAATGATGTTGGGACAAATGGATGTCACATGGCAAAAGAATAAAGTTAGACCCCTACCTCACATGATATTCAATAATTAACTCAAAATGGACCATAGACCTAAATGTAAGAGCTACAACTATAAAACTCGTAGAAGAAAACATATGTGTAAATTTTCAGGACCTTGGATTAGGCTATGGTTTTTTAGCTATGACACCAAAAGCACAAACAACTAAAGAAAAAAATAGATATATTGGACTTTACAAAATGTATAACACTTCTGTTTTGAAAGATATCTTCAAGAAAGTGAAAAGGCATAGATAAGCAACAAGGATGTACTGTACAGCACAGGGAATTATAGGCATTATCTTGTCATAACCTATAACGGGGCATAATCTACAAAAATACTGGATCACTATGCTGTACACCTGAAGATAATACAATACTGTAAATCAACTATCTTGAATTTTAAAAAAGAAAGAAAATGAAAAGATAAATCACAGAAAAGAAGAAAATACATGCAAATCATTATCTGATGGGGGCATTCTTTATATATCCTAGATTTATATGGCAAGGATGTAGAAAAATCTGAACTTTTGTACATTGCTACTGGGAATGTAAAATGGTGCAGTCATTGTGGAAAACAATTTGATATTTCTTCTAAAACTTAAACACAGAATTACCATATGACCTAGTGATTCTAATCCTGGGTATATACCCAAGAGAGCTGAAAACAAGCACTCACACAAATGCCTGTATGCCATTATTCACGGCAGTATTATACACAATAGCCAAAAGGCAGAAACAACTCAAATGTCCATCAAAAGATGAAAAGATAAACAAAATGTGGAATATCCATACAAGAGAATACTATTCAGCCACAAAAAGGAATGAAACAACATGGTGCTACGTACGATATGGACGCTACAATATGGATGAAAATATGCTAAGTGAAAGAAGCCAGACACAAAAGGCCACATATTGTATGATTCCACTTGTATGAAATAGCCAAAACAGGCAATCCACAGAGACAGTAAGTAAATTAGTACCTTCTAGAGGTTGGGGGAATGGGGATGGAGACTGAATACTAATGAATACAGGGTTTCTTTCTGGGGTGATGAAAATGTTCTACATTTAGAAACTGATGTTTCTAAATGATTGCACAACTCTGTAATCACAGTAAAAGGTCTGAATTGTACACTTTAAATTGGTGAATTACATGGTGTATTAGTCAGGATTCGCCAGAGAAACAGAACTAATAGGATATATATGTAGATATACATAAGAGGAAATTTATTATAGGAATTGGCTCACATGGTTACAAGGGCTGAGAAAACCCATAATCTGCCATCTGCAAGCTGGAGAAACAGGAAAGCCAGAGGTATAATTCAGTCTGAGCCTGAAGACCTGAGAATCAGGGGAGCCAAGGGGGTAGCTCCCAGTCTGGACATCCCAGCCCAAGAGAAAGAGAATTCACACTTTCCTCCTCTCTGTGTTTTATTCCTGCCTTCAACAGTTTGGATGATGCCCATCCACACTGAGAAGGGTGGGTCTTCTTTTCTGAGTCTACAGAATCAAATGCTAATCTCTTCCAAAAACACCCTCACAGACGCACCCAAAAATGTTTTGCCAGCTATCCAGGCATCCATTAGCCCAGTCAAGTTAATGCATAAAACTAACCATACAGTACGTAAATGATATCTCAATAAAGCTGTTAAATTTACTAAGATTCAGCTGAAAATCAGTCAATGGCTACATGTAATTTCCAATGTAAGGGTTGGAAAATATCATGAAAATATAACAGAGAATGGTTGGGATAATGCAAGTTCTATCCTTCTAAGTGTAACACTCCACAATTAAAATGAAAATAGAAAAATATGACTCTCTTAAACTGTAGATGTGGATTAAGATTAATTTGCAGGCACCACAATGAAATAAAATGGTTTAAAACTTTTTGTAGATGTCAAATAAGATCTATGTTGAAAGTCCAGCATGTGGAACAGAGGAAAATATTATAAATGGAGCTCCTTTGGTTGAGGTTTGGAGACTTGGAAGAAAGAATCTGCCTCCACACCTCCAAACAAAAGCAATTCCGCACAACCACCTCTAAGCACCATGCAGCACAGCTGAAATGGTGCAGGGACTCAGCTCCCCAGTTTCTGGCAAAGTACAGAAACTCCAAGGGCTTCTGTTTCCTAACTGTCAGATGAAGGAGTTGAACTAAAACTTGAAAGCCTCTTCCTATCCTCAAGTCTGTGGCCCTAAAACAGCTAACTCAAAGTCTAGTAGCTATTGGCTTCTAAAATGTTTACCAATTACCTTAGAGCTTAAGGAATTCCAGCTGAGATCAAAACAAGGCTGGAGATATTCCCACCTTTCCCAAACCTATAAAATAAAAAGCAAACTTTGGATGAAAAATAGAGAGCAGGAGAAAGGCTTATATCAAAGTTAGTAAATTAGTCTGAACAAAGGGCAGCTGGTTTCCATTGATCTTTCTTATCTCCTAGATAAAGGTAGTTAATGGGCCATAAATACAAACAAAGGGTCTGCAGATGCCAAGAAGAAGGAGGGAGGCAGTACAGCCCTCCCTTCCAGGTGGCAGCACCTCAAGGAGAAGTAGAACAAAGGGTCTCTACTGAGACGAGGAACTGGCTGCTAGTCTTACAGCTGTAGAACAGGGAAATACTTGAAGTCCTAAGAACAGGAAACCAGTTGAAGAGCTGGGGGAGGGAGGGACGGGGTAAATGGAGCAGAGATTGTGCTAAGGTGCCGTTAAGGTTGGTAGAGATTGTGCTGAACAAGGGAAATGGCAGCCCTCAAACAGAAATATCCGAGGGAGGGCCTTGGCACATCTACTCCTAGAACTGTGGTCTAACTCCTTGGTACAGAAAGTGGAGTTCATGGACCAGCAGTGTGGACAGCACCAGTGTGTATACTAGAAATGCAGAATCTCAAGGCCAATCTACATCTACTGAATCACAATCTGCATTTTAACAAGATCCCTGATGACTGTACATTAAAACAAATACACCTGAAAATGGAATAGACAATTAGCTGCCCTTGGAGGAAACTACCCCTTCTTTAATCCTTGGATTTCCATGAAATCAAGGATGAATTTACCTGACATTGAACAGGAGCATGAATCTGATGTGAGTGAATATCTTATGATGCTTACCATCACAACTTAATTAAGCTGAACTTCAATAGCTTAAACTTTACCATAAAATGAGGTACACTTTAGCCTAATATGGGTCTGTCTTATACATTCCAGTTTCTAAAATATTTTTAGGAATGATCCTTATATTGCAACATTATCTATAAAGAAGTCCCCTTGCATAAATCCTGCCATGGCAGGCGTGGGAAGTACTGGGAAAATAAGTTGTTTATCTTTGACCCTTTTAGGATCTTTCTTTAACTTTAAAAAATACTTTAGTGTGATACTTCAGATACACAAAAGCATGTACTCTAAGAATATGTGCTCTGCTTAGGAATAAGAACATTATCAATATCAGGATTTACTTCCTTTAGGATCTTATGCCAGTTTCTGAAGGAGTCTGGCTTCTAGTTACCTGGCATTAATGGAGAAGATTTGAGAAATACATATTCAATAAGGTGCTATATGCTGAGAAAAGCTTTAGATGTTTACTATCCTTGGGTACATAAAAATTTTTATGGCATTTTTTTCTAATCATGAAAGTGTACATATTCAATACAGAAATTTTTGAAAATAGGGAAAGTATGAAGAAAATAAAAATAACCAATAGTAATCCTACAGTCTCCAAATAATTTTAACATTTTGAAATTCACAGGTGCGCACGCGCACACACACACACACCCCTACAAATATCTTTTATTAGGTATCTTGAGTTCCTTTCAAGACATAAAGATAGGAGTCTCTCATAGTGGAATTCAGGCATTGTAGCAGGCTAGTGGGAAACTTATTTGTCATTAAGGTTTTCTCAAATTGTACCGAAGAAAACATCTGCATTTCCAAAATGATAGCATTATGGTGATACTCTCAGATATTCAGTTATTAAGTAACCCAAACAGCTCTAGGCCCATGATAGGGGTGTTAATAATTTAACATTATAACTTAAACAAATTGGCATCAAATTCACATTCTCACAATAAACTAACAGTATTCAGCCAAATTCATGCTAAGTAACCATGTATCTGATGCCTCATGTATTTACATGTTCACAGATACAAATTTACCAGAGGACTTTTAACAGTGAAATGACACCAGAACAGAACTAAGGTACAAGGAAACCTTAGTTCCTTCTAATAAACCATCCATGCACTGGACAAGCTATGTAGGCAAGTGCGACTGTTTCAGGGGAGTAAATGAGGAGGTGAGTGTTAAATGAAAGACAGACAGGTTTCAAGTGTGTATCATAAATTCTTTTCTCACTGAGCAATGGCAACTAGCCTAGCAGGTTCTTCTTGGCCCCTTGGGGAAAAAGCATGCAGAAACATATAATTCTTGCACAATGTTTTTTGAGTTAACAAATTTTGGTTTTTATGAGAGAACCCTCTACCTGAGAAGAGATAATTATCTAGAGACTAAGAAAGATGCTTTTCTAGCTGAGCTAATATTTCCCCTGTGGTTTTAGTCTCTAGGACTTAGGAAATAATACTTCAGTTTAAGAGGTGTATGAGTGGAGCTTGCAGGGGGTGTTAAGTTCAGGAATTTGAATCAAGATATTAGCAAGGGATGGAAAAAAAGTGAAAAAACATGCTAAAGGCAGGATCCAAAATATAAAGAGCCAAATAAACTAAAATCAGAATCAAAGGCTAAGTTCACAAATCACAGTGCCAAGGCATAAAATGCCAACAGTAAGATTCAAACTGCAAAGAAAGTACAGGAAGACTGGTATCAAAGAGTAAGCCTCTGTGTATTTTTCTAAAGAGGGTTAAAAATATAAGCAGTTGCCTACATGAGTGGATCTGGCCAGCTTGGAGGGAGATGACGTCACTTTATCCCTCATGAAGCCAGAAGTTCATATCTGGCAGCCAACCTTGATACCAGACTATATGTTATAGATTAAATCAGCCAGTATAGGTATTTAGCAAACAATGTTAAGCAACTAATTTAGCACACTTTACATTTGTTTAAATTATTATGTTGAGGAGGAGGTTCTGAGAATTTTCAGTTGTGATGTAAGTAGAAAACACTGTGTGACTCACTTGAAAGAGGTCATCACTTGTAGATTTATTAAACAGAGAATTAACATTTGTATGCTATAACAAGCCAGAGCCAAAAATCTAAAAGTAACAGCCCAACTTTGCAAAAACCACTTGCCCATTAATCATATATGTTCTTAATAGTTTTGCTGGGTTTGATGTTCTCACTAGAGCTTTAAGTTTCAAATTCAGCATTCTGGTCATTGTTTGTTCCTCTGTTCCACAGCTATAAATTACGTTTGGTGTTATGTAAACTAGGGCCGCATCATCCAAAAACTGGAGTTTAGGAGCAGGAATAGTTAACCAAGAGGTAGGGTCACATATTTTTACATCCCTCTTCTAATATGAAAATACACATAGGGTTATTGTTAAATACTACTATCAGGCAAGATTTTACTGAATGGCATACACATAAGTTAAATGTAATACTTCTACCACCTTTCAAAATACATCACATTTTGGTTTTATGCCCAGACCAAGTAGGAAGGCCTTTTTTTCTAATTGACCCTGAATATAAGTCTTATAAAAGGTCTCCTGCCAAGATGGTCCCCACATTTCAGGTCGAACTAGTCTCAAAATTCCTCTGGTAACAAGAGCTCAGTGAGGTTTTTCTCCAGCTTAATCCAGTCCATACTCTTCTCCTGCTACACAGAATTACTTCAGGAGTTAACTGAGGTTTAGTTTTCTCACAGCCCCCTACCCTCCAGATCAGTTACAGGTCCTTATCAGTTTCTTCTGTTTTGTTCTCTTTTCACTTGGTTTGAGAATAAAGAGATGCTAGTCTCAAAGACATCTTGAAAAAAGGAATTTTTTTAATTGAAGAAGAGTTGATGTGTAATATTATATAAGTTACAAGTGTACAATATAGTTATTCACAATTTTTAAAAGTTATGCTCCATTACAGTTATTATAAAATATTGGCTGTATTCTCCATGTTGTACAATATATCCTTGTAGCTTATTTTATACATAATAGTTTGTGCTTCTTAATCCTCTACCAGTATACTGCCCCTCCCCCTCCTCTCCCCACTGGTAACCACTAATTTGTTGTCTAGATCTGTGAATCTGCTTCTTTTTTGTCATATTCACTAGTTTGTTGTATTTTGGGGATTTCACGCGTAAGTGGTATCATACTGCATTTGTCTTTCTCTGTCTGACTTACTTCGCTTAGTATGATTATCTCTAGGTCCATCCATGTTGCTGCAAATGGCATTATTTCACTCTTTTTTAATGGCTGATGGTATTCCATTGTGTACATATGTCTCATATCTTTTTTAATCCATTCATCTGTGGATACACACAGGTTGCTTCCGTGTCTTGGTGATCGTAAATAATACTGCTATGAACATTAAGGTACCCGTGTCTTTTTAAATTAGTGTTTTTGTTTTTTCAGATACATACCCAGGAGTGGAATTGCTGGGTGATATGGCAGTTCTATTTTTAGTTTTTTGAGAAACCTCCATACGGTTCTCCATGGTGGCTGCACCAATTTATATTCCTACCAACAATGTATGAGGGTTCTCATCTCTCTATATCCTTGACAACATTTGTAATCTGGATTCTTTTTGATGATGGCCATTCTGACAGGTGTGAGGTGATATCTCATTATGGTTTTGATTTGCATTTCCCTGGTGATTAGTGATGTTGAGCATCTCTTCATGTGCCTGGTGACCATCTGCATTTCTTCTTTGGAAAAATGTCTATTCAGATCTTCTGCCCATTTTTTTAATCAAGTTGTTTGTTTGTTTGTTTTGGATGTTGAGCTGTATGAGCTATTTATATATGTTAGATATTAACCCCTTATCATAGGCCACATCCCTTGCAAATACTTTCTCCTATTTAGTGGGTTGTCTTTTCGTTTTGTCTATGGTTTCCTTTGCTGTGCAAAAGCTTTTAAGTTTCATTAGGTCCCATTTGTTTATTTTTGCTCAAAGACACAGCCTCGTATGAAACAGTAGACTACAAATCCACAGGAAGTCATTTACTGTTAAATTTTCTGTTAAAAAGTCATTTACTGTTAAGAAGAGAGCGAACCTCCCTTACCAATAGCAATCCAGCTGTTCTCTGTTCACTTTTGTTTTCCTTCAGTCTACTTCTGATAGATTGTCTTATTTTTGTAACGTATAACAAAGCATAGTCTTGAATTAAACATTTTATAGTTCTTGTTAGATGACTGTAATATGCATTCATTGAAAATACAGTTAAACAAATTGAAGAAAATAAAGTATCCATGACCTCACCAATCTCAGTGGCACTGTTTTTCTATACATATGTGTACACATGTGGATATTCACACTAATTTAAAAAGCAATCATCTGTGCACATTATTTTTAGACTGTACTTTTTCATATAAAATATATACTCAACAACATCATTCTTAATATGCTGCATAGGAGTCCATCTCATAGACAGTCTACAATTCAGTTGTGAATATTTACTATTTTAAAGTATTTTTAAACTGCTGGATTTAAACAATGCTATAACTACCTTAACCGAAAACTAAGATGTAGCCTTAGTTATTTTATTTTTTTAAATTTCTGCAAGTGAACTCGTTGGACAAAAAGCTATGCATAGTTTTAAGCCATTTAATAAACACTGTCAAACTGCCCTGTTAAAAGTATTATAATTTAGCACTTCTCTCATACTTTATAAAAATGCCTTTTTCCCAATACCACCACTTCCTTTTTTAAATTCTTTTCCCTCCTCCTCTTTGCTGATCTGCTGGATGAAAGGCAATATCTCACTGTTTTAATTTGTTTATTTCCCTATTACTAGTAAATGCAAATACTTATTTGCCATATATTTTCATATATTTAATTGCTGTTTGCATTTCATTTTCATTGTTTTTGTCCATTTTCCCACATAAATATCATATTTTATGTTATTTCTTATGTAAATGAGCTGCTTATATTTTTTACTATTGATTTGAAAAAGCTGATATATATACTAATAGTAAATCTTCATATATTTATTATAACCTCCTCTGTATGGAAGTTTCCCAGACTGGAAAAACCCAAAATACACATTAATAAGTAATTGATTAAATCATTATCATTCATTTATGTAATGGAATATACAAGGCAGATGTTAAGAAGAGTAAAGTAGCTCTATATTTGCTGACAAGGAAAGATGTGCACGATATACTGTTGAGGGAGAAGGACTAGATGCAAAATGTCACTGACACTAATTCTTGTTTTGAAAAGTTTATGCTTTAGAAAGGTCTGGAAATGTATAATACATATTTTTGAAAGTAGTTACCTATGAAGTGAGAGATTAAAGAAGGGGACATTGTTTATTTTATATAACCCTGTAGTGTTTGATGTTTTTATGTCAATGTACCATGAACTCACAATGAATATATACTGCTTTCACAATTGAAAAATGCTAAACAAGAAAAAGGGAACACATTTTAATTTTTGTATAACTGTATCTTTTCCTGTAAGGTTTTTACTTTTGACATCAAACCTAGACCTTTCTTGTTCAAGGTTATATAATTATTCTATTTTCTATTTTATATTTATACTTTTGATCAATTACAATTTATTTTGCTGTGATACCAGTCACAAAACAACACTAATAAAAATCCATCTTTCCCTAATTTTATGTTATTGTAAATTATTCTGTATCCTAAAATCTGTCAGTTAAATATTCTGTTCCACTGACCTGTCTTTCTAGTTGAACACTGATACCACACTTGTTTTAATCTTTATAACTTTAAATGGATTTGAGTGTCTGATAGGTGAACAAAAGACAATCTGTGGTCTGAAGGGAAAATATTTACAACACATACAATGAAAAAGATCCCTAACATGTCAAGAATTCCTTTAAGATGCTTTTAGCTCAAGTATCAGAAACTTACTTCAAAAGGCTTTAAAAATAAGGAATTTTAGTGACTCACACAAATGGAAGTCCAGAGGTGGACAGGCCTCTGGGTTCAGTTCACACTATAGCTCCATTTCCCTGTGAATTTCTCTGCTCTTCCCTCTCTGAATTCCATATTCCGTAACTATAAAATGGAAGACATAATAGTACATACTTCATGGGATACGTATAACTTGTAACTGAGTTAATATACACATAATACATTTATCAAACCTCCTGGCAGCTATTACAACTAATTATCATTATTTATCAAGTTTTTATTCATCTATATAGTAACACAATGCCATGGTTCAAAAAAAAATTTGCCCTAGAGGGATCTTAACATAAATATTGTAGTTTCCTAAAACCATTCAGATTTTAATCAAAATTGATATTAACTTATACAAATTAATCTTTTCTACATTTAAAAATCCACTTTGATGTAAATTATAAATATAAGCAAAGAGTGTGATACATGTTCCTAATGAAAAGCACTCCTGGAGATCAAGGAGTCATGTAACTTAGTCATAACATCCATATTCTGTTTAACTCACACACAAAACCTAGTTTAATAATCTTAGCCACATTTTAGCTTCCTGAAACAAAAAGTGAAGCTGTATTTCATCTAGGTTTATGTAATTAATGACTTGAATTGGTTAAAAAGAGGAAGAATCACAGCATTTTAGAGTTTCTCTGATAAGGACCTGATTCTAGTTACAAAGGTACGTAGTGGCATATGAGTACCCAAAACACAAACTCTTGACTCATTTCTTTCCAGGACACTGTGCTACCTCTCAAGAAAGAAATTCTGAGTGGATTCAATGATCAGTTTACCTGCAATAGCAAAAGCTATGGGAATTTTGCTTTTATATATTTTTCATTTCTAGAACTCATCACAATTTATATTTTTAAAAAAATGCATCAGGCTCAAAATATAAGCAAAAATAGTTCCAGCACCTTTTCCCCCTCCTTTCATTTTAATTGGGTAAATTAAAAGCCGCTGGCAGGGGAGAAGTGGAAGTGGAAATGAAGACAGGGAAGGCTGGGGATGAAATCATGTTCCGGCTATGCGTAAGGTTCTAAGTAATCAGATAATTGGGCAAGCTACCACCAGTCCCAATTCCTGGCTCTTGGAATCCTCTTCAAGCTTTCCAGCTAAGTATCTCGTAAACCCCAAAGCATTTTGAAAAATAATTAGTGTTCAAAGCTGATTGGAGTCCTTATTAAGAATTGTCAACACCCTTCCCCAACAGCCCTTTCCCCCTTCCCAGAATAATCTTTCTTCTTACATTTACCACCTTCAACCATATTATGTATTGTTATTATCCTATTTTCCTTGTTTATTGTCTTTCTTTCCCCACTAGAATATAAGCTTCTCATAGCCAAGAATTTCTGTAAGTTTTGTCTTACTGCATCCTCAGTGCCCAGAATAGTGCAGGCATATAGTAGATATTCAATTAACACTCACTTAATGAGTGAAAAATTACCAGCCTTTTGCCTTCCCTTTACTTAATATGAATGGTAATTTAGATAGATTTCCTGGCTGAATTATACAGATAATTATGGGCCTTTCTCTAAAAGTAAAATCCTTTCCCACATTTCAGCTCAAAAACCTTATCTTTCAGCACACCAGGATGACATTACTAACAGTGCTTTGATTTTAGGTGTCTTCTGTCTGTAAGTCCAGTTCTAAAATAACTTTCATATGTTTAAAAAATGAAAGAGCTGAAGAATATTAGGATAAAAGTGAAAAGGAAAATAAGTTGTCATTGAACTTAATCTAAACAAGTAAACTTAAAAATGCTTCTGAGTTTTGTGCCAAAGTAGGATGGAATCTTCAGAAAAGTTACCCTAAGATGTTGATTCTATCAATATTAAACAAGTTTGAACTCTGCTTAAAAATTCTAGAGATGCCATGACTGGCAAAATACATAGAGGAAAAGATTGTGAACACTGAATGATGAAAAAAAATCTAATAGAAATGAAGGGGAGTATGTATTAATGAATCAGGACTCACCTGAAACAACACTGGAGGTGAACGATTGTTTGTTTTTTAAACTTTCCAGAAATCACGGTCCTTTTACATGATTTTCCTGCAATAAAAAAAGTATTTTAAATGATGGTGCTATCTTAAGAAAAAAAAAGCAAAAGCAAAAGCATATCAAAAAATAAAAACCAAGATTAAGAACTTCTGACAGTATGGTTTCACTTTCTTTCTTCTTAACCACTGAAATACTTCAAATAACTTTCTGTAATTCGGCATTCTGATTGCTGTCATTCCAATAGGTTAAAGAATGAAAACAACTTGATTGATAAACATTGCTGACTACAAACAGTTAAAGGACTTACGTGGTAAGGCCCGTTCACTTCTGGCCTACAAAGTGTACAGATCAGACAACACCTTCATCAGGTCACTGATTCTACTAGAACCTGAGCTTCTACCCGAGCTAAAGCAAATGTGTAATTAAGAATCCTGCTGAAATCATGAAGCCAGATGTTTCCACCATGTTTATCATTCCTGTCATCATCTTCTGTCCCTTCAAACTGAAATTCCTTTTTGTCATGCCTTTCTCTATTGCTTACACTTTCTTTTCCCATTCCCAACCTTTCTCTTCCCAACCCTAACCTTCCACTAGTAGAGAGTGCCTCTGGGGCATTAGGCAGTGGCTTCAGATCTCCCAGGGTCTCCTTCAGTTACACCCAGTCTGTGGTATGGATAAGTGATGTGGTATGGATAAGTCACACCCAGTCTGTGGTATGGACAATCAGTGACACCCTTAGTTTCCTTCTGTTATAAACATTCTAGAGCCACCACTGCTCTCGCTTTTCCTTTACAAATCTTTCCACTCTGCCTCCAGAGATTTCCCATGATAAACAGATTTCTGCTCTACAGCCTCAACCTTTTACTACATCCTTTCTACCTGGCTCTCACCTGCAAACTCACAACTGAATTCGAATTCTTTTGTGAGCACATTGCTTGTCACTCTGTATTGGAGGCTGCTCACTCTACAGTAGGCAATATATCTTGAAGTCACAAGTTAGGGCCACTGTTCACATCCATTTCTGTTATTCTTCCTTTTTTCCACTTAAAAATCTTTGCTCCCTTGGGACTAGTCGTTTGTGACCCACTCTCTAGCCCTGCTTGTTTGCTTTATTTTTGACCTCCTGTTTGGATGAAAAGTAAATCAAGCCAAATTTTGTTGGTCTTCTAGTACAGGAGGTGGTGGACTTTTTCTGTAAAGGATCAGATAGCAAATATTTTTGTCTTTGTGGGACGTATGGTCTCTGTCACCACTCTTCAATTCTGCCACTGTAGTGCAAAACAGCCGTAGACAACAGTAAACAAATGGGCATGGCTATGTTCCAATAAAATTTAGTTTATAAAAACAGGCATCAGGTGGGATTTGGCCCAAGGTCAAAGTATGTCAACCCCTGTCCAGATAGATGCCAGTCACTATGACAGAGCCTATATGTACGTTATCTTGTGGGAAACCACAAGGACAACTCCCCTGTAGGGTTGGACTAGTAGACAATGAAAGTTAAGCACTTACCATAGTGACTGGCCTATAGTAGATGCTTGATAAATGGTTGTTGCAAATGATGATAATTAATCTTAGGTGACTCTGCAAGATGGATATATTTTATGCACGAAGAAACAGGGACATTAAATAACTTGCCGAGGGACTAAGTAAAAATAATCGGATTCAAAAGTCTTAACTATCTGCTCTATTCTTTCCCAATGAACGCAGTTTTGGCTGAGTTTGATTTGACTATAGAAATCTGAAATGGTTAGTAAATCCTAGGAAATATGAATCTGAAGTTTAGGGAATAGATTAAATTTTCTGTAGAATGTTGCCTTCTTTTTTAGTTTAATTAATTAATGATCCTCATTAGGAGCTATTAGCACATCAAAAGAGTATTAAAATGGCAAGTAACCTTATGGCTATAGTAAACACAAATACAGTTTTCCCTTTGACAAGCTCAAAAAAATGCTCTAATGATTCCTGAAGGCAGAAGTCATTAGTAAATAAATCATTTAGTTGAGAATTAATATGTCATTTAAGTCAGTTAAGACAGAATTTGCTAACTTGCTGTTCTCTTTTAGGCATTAGTCAGCTAATGGTTATTGCTATCATAGAACTGTTTATAACTATATTGAATGCTCTGGACCCAACTCAAAGAACCTTCTTATATAGATTGCACAGGGGAAAATATGGATAATAAGAGTCTCAGAGATTTCAGACACACTTAGGCGTATCTGTAGGATGGGAGAGGTTGGGTCAGTTGGGGTTTACCTGTGCTAGGCCTTCAGTCACCTTAAGGATAGAATAACGACCAGAAACATAAAGGCTGAAAATTGGTGGAGAGAACAGACTCCTAAAAAGGCTGCTTAATTTATTCGATTGATTCACCATCAAATATTTATGGAGTATTATTACTGTTCTAGGTACCAAGGATACGACAGTGAATAAAATAAAAGTTCCTACCCTAATGGAGCTTAGATACTGGCAGGGGAGATAGTAAACACATACACAAATAGGCAATAAATGTCAGTGACCAGAGTACGGGGAAAACGTAAAACAGGGCAAGATGATATAATGTGAGTGCTGTGTTACGTAGAGTAGTTAGGGAACACTCAATTAGCAAAAACAAAACCACTGTTCCTAGTGGAAATAAACAGGTTTCTGAGAGTTTCTGTTCACAACATTTGTGTCAGCCAATCAACACATAACCTTGTATTATGTGTGTTTCTGTTTAAAGACACTATTTAATATCATTGATTCATTAACATTGAACTCATGGCCAGCATCACTATAACTCATGCCGGAACACAGCTTTAATACACGTTTTCTCCATAAGGTGGTGGTTTCATTTTTGCCAGTCCCTCTCTAATGTTAGTGCTAAGACTTCTCCTTCTGTACCTCCACTGTTTCTGTGGATGTCAAGGTCACCCTGGCCTGTATCCTAGAAAACGAAAATGGGGTAGTTGTTTACATGGTCAATGTGATTAGGGGGTTCAACCCTTAGGACACGGGCTTACATTCTTTTAGTCAAGAATGACAGCTATGTGCGGACTGCTGTCAATGTATGGACCATGCACTTCAATAACCAGACACATAGCTAAGGTGACCACTTCATTTGACTTTACATGACTGCGTGTTGTGCACCACTGAATGGCGATCAATGACTTAGGGTCTGGTCCTCCTTGGTGCTGGACCCTGGAAGTGCTGGACAGTCCTCCCAATGCTGACCCCTGTTTCATTTCTCCTCTGTCTTGCCAAAGTATGTCTTCCCTCACCACCAGTTCAGGTGATCTACCTTTGAATCTGGTGGTTGAGGGGGACATCATTTAGTAAGACAGAGGACATGGCAGTACCATATAACGAAGTGAGGCAGCTTCAAAAAGAAAAATTCAGGGGGAAGATGCAAGACAGGGAGGGACTTAAGAGTTGTGTTTTTAACATGTAAAGTGTGAGATGCCATTTAGACACTGGAGGAAGTCTGATGGTTGAGCCTGTAGTTTAGGGAAATTTGGAGCTAGAGCAGTAAATTTGTGAGTGAACAACACCCGGATAATATTAATGCCACTGGGATGATGAGATCATGTAAGGATGAAGAAGTTAAACCTGGAACAACAAAAAGGGGTTGAAATAATTCTGTTTTCTATTGATTCTTTTTAGAGAGAGCTCAAGAGTTGCGTTTAGTTCATTTTCTCCTGTTCTGTATGAAAAGAACCATAAAACTAGGGGGAAATTTGAATAGGTGTTAAAGGGTATCAGAACCAGATCCCAATTCTTTTTTTGTCATGGCATGTCAAGCAATATTTAGTCTACTGCACTCACATTAAACAGAAGTTGGAAATTAAACATCACTTTCGATATTTTTTTTAGGCAGTCTCCTTATGTATTATGGAATCTTTTAACTGAATAATGAACCATCTCTAGGGGGGAAAACTTTAAAGAAAGAGTCCCTACCCTATATACTCTGAAGAATGGAGGAAGCTAGAAGCTGGGACTGGGACAGCAACATTCTAGTCCATCAATCAAAGAGGTGTATGGCAAACTCAAACCCTCTGGGAAGGAGTTGTACCCAAGGGAATAGATCCATGAGGAATGGGAAGGAGTAAGAGAGGGCGCAATATCAATATTTCTAGGTTCTTTGTCAATTAAAAAATTAACAAAATATTTAAAAAAATGTTAATTCAAATAGTTTTTTAATGGCGGGAATGGTCTTGTGGATATGCTTTTTTAAAAAATCCTTATCTTTTAGAGATACATGCTGAAATGCTTGCTGGTGAAATGAAAAGTTGAGTATTTGCTTCAAAATACTCAGGAGGAGTCAGAAGGGTATACATGAAACAAGATTAACCATGAGTTGAACCTGGGTGATCGATACAGAAGAGTTCATTATACTATTATTTTTGTTTATGTCTATATTTTATTGTTTTTATTGTTCTTTGTTATAAAATATTTTTAAAGGTTAATCTTTGACATGAAGAATACTTTTATTTTTTGATCTGTATTCAGGACAATTTGTTATGATGTGAGGCCCAGAAAAAGGGGTTTGGAGGAAGCAGATGAGTGTTGATCTCAGGAAAGGCAACAGTCCTGCTGCCTTTGGGAAACCAGGAGTGTATCTGGATGGATGGATATGGACAAGTGCCAGTTAGGGTGGCTGGCCATGTTTGGAGTCATTAGGTCCTAAGGTGGTGTTCACGTTATATAGACAGTGGTTCCCAATAGTGGGGAAAGACTGAGGGTGGAGGACTATGCCTTCCACTTAAAAAACTGTACGGAGCCCATCAAAGCCAGCCAGGGACAGCAGATTTTGTGTCTCAGATATTCATATAGACCATCTTTCTCCTCAACTTCTCTACCCATTATCTTTCTGTTTTTCTCCCTCTGCTAATCCCTACTTGTCTTTAGAATCAGCTAGGACACTGTTCTCAGGAACACATTCTCTCCTCTGACTCAAGACCAAGAGCCTGTGTCAGTCCTTCCACTCCTAGTCCAGCCGTTTGGCCTGTAGGCCTAGAAAAGAGAGCAGGATAAAGAATGTGCTGAGTAACCTCCAGAGACTCTAGATGAGCCCATTCTGATAACTGGAGACAGAGTCCCCAGACAGATAAGATCCTGGAATGAAGCACAAAGAGAAGAGTGTGCTTGTGTTCCCTGTGGAGAGCAGAGCACACCGACTCGTTTAGATAGCAGATAGCAGAGGAATAAAGCAGATTTAGTGTTACTGATGTCATTCTTACCAAAAAATGCTTTCTAAAAGAATAACCGAGAGTGCCTGCAGGTATGAAGCACCAGCCCTTCAAATTCCATGCTTTTGAAAGTTGATTATGAGGGGCTAGAGCCAAATAACTTGTCAGTTTACAAGAAGTGGATTATTCAGAAAGTAGAGAACAAGTTCGGATTTTCATACAGAGGAGGCTATCCTAGGAAATCTGGAGCAAGTTCTTCTGTTTGGGAAAATAAAGAGCCATGAAGTTAGTATAGTTCACCCCTGAACAGCATGTGGGTTTGGGGCACCAAATCCCCCCCAGGCAGTTGAAAATCTGCATATAACTTTACAGTCGGGCTCTCCATATCTGCAATTCCACATCCGAGGGTTCAACCAACCACAGATCACATAATACTATAGTATGCATTTATCGAAGAAAAGTCCATGTATAAAAGTGAAACCACACATTTCAAACTTATGTTGTTCAAGGGTCAAGTGTAGTTGCTACTCAATACTCAAGTATGAAATCACCAAAACTGGGACTAGGAGACTCATTTAACTCAGCATTATAGGATGCTAAGTATCATACGCTGACCCCAGATATATTCAGTAAAGGAAGAGCTACCATTAATGAGCACTTGCTATCTTCCAGGTATTACTGTGCTGTATTAGTTATCTAGTGCTGTGTAACAAATTATCCTAATATTTTGCAGTTAGAAACACTTATTATCTCATAGTTTCTGTGAGTAAAGAATCTGGGAGCAGTTTAGATGGGTGATTTTGGCTCAGGGTCTGTCAAGAGGCTATAGTCACGGTGTTGGCTGTGGCTGCAGTCATTTCAAGGCTCAACTTGGTGAGGATCTGCTTCTGAACTCACCTACAAGGCTGCCTGATGACATGCTGGCTGGCTTCCCCCATAGTGAGCAACTCAAGAGGATGAGAGAGAGAATCCAAGACTGAAGCCCTAGTCTTTTTTTAGAATCTCACCTTGTTAGAGAGACCTCATTGCTTCTGATGTATTCTGATGTATTCTCTGTGTTAGTGCCAGTCAATGAGTCCACTCCAAGCTCAATGGAAGGGGATTACAGAAGAGCACAAACCGGAAGGCAGGGATCATTGTAAACTACAACAAGAGGATGTCCATCATTTAGGCTAAGTACTGATTACTGAACTGGTATATTTGATAGTTACAGCTTATTGTAAATAAATAAATGATCTTACTTATATCATTCTATCCTCTTTACAGCTAAGGAAAATTAAATAACCTAAGGACAGAATAGAAAAAAGTAAGGGAACCACAGATTGAATTATTTCAGTCATTCATCAAATACTGTTTGAGAGTCTCTGGTATACTGGTTACTCTGCTCAGTACTGGGGATGTGGAAGAGAACATGTCATGTGAATACACATAAGCACTCACAGGGCTTACAATCTAGTATGGAATCCTGAGATTAAGGAATTTTTAAAAATAATTACAATAATCAGATGAAACTACTAGATTTATAATGCTTCTGTTAAACATGTAGTTGAATAAAAGATTAAAATATGTATAGTAGTCAAAACCACAACAAGAACTTTACACCTGTCATAATGGGTATCACCAAAAAGACCACAAATAACAAATGTTGGCAAGGAAGGCGAAAAGGGAACCCTTGTACACTGTTGGTGGGAATGTAAATTGGTGCAGTCACTGTGGAAAACAGTATGGAAGTTCTTCAAAATAACTAAAAATAGAACTATCAGATGATCCAGCAATTCCACTGCTGGGTATATATTCAAAGCAAACAAAAACACTAATTCAGAAAGATACATGCACTCAAATGTTGAATAGCAGGACCATTTACAATTGGCAAGATACGGAAGCAACTAAGTATCCACTAACAGACATAGGAATAAATAGGGTGTGGTACACACACACACACACACACACACACACACACACACACACACAGAGTACTACTCAGCTAACAAAAAAGGAAATTTTGTCATTTGTAGCAACATGGATGGACATGAAGGGTATAATGCTTAGTGAAGTAAGTCAGACAAACACAAATACTTAACGTTATCACTTACATGTGGAATCTAAAAAAGTGAATATGACAAAAAAGTATTATTAAGGTCTTTGAATATTCCTATGAAAAGCAATGTTTACAAGTTTTTGAAAACAACTGGGAAGATGAAAATAATGTGGCTGCTGCAGCACTGAAGATGGCTGCCAAAACCAACTTGCTTATTCGAAGAAATTTTTCAACTTTTCCATTCAACTCCTTTGCATTGCTGATCCACAAAAATCTGCAGAGTGACCATGTTCAGCCTTATGTCTGTCTGTATTTCCCTCTTTAGTGGGCTAAGTGATTTTTCTATGCATTCTTATATCCTAACAGGCTTACTGGAAACTGTGATACTATCACCATTGTAACAATTATGTTATATGTTATGTTATGCTGGGCTCTCCAGCTCCCCTCCCATTTTTTAGACAGTCAAATACTTATACGTTAAAAATTTAAATGAGCTTATTTCAGCCTTGGGCCCATACGAGTGCAGTCAAGAAGGCTGTTGCTGAATCAAGGACTTCCAGAGTTAAGGATACCTACTCTACACAACAAATTAGGCCCAAAACATGTAAGTTCATTCTATGAAATTTTGGGTAGAAAACGGCAAGGCAAATCTATGATCCATGTATAGGACAATTAGTAAGAAGAAATTAAGAACATCCTTAAATCCTACATTGCAAATAGAGAAAAATTTGTCAAATGGAAGAGATACACTGGCTTCTTTCATTTTTCATTTCTTTGAGTGCAAAAACCATGAAAAGAGGAAAAAACTCAATCTATGAGTGTTCATGAAATGTTCCCATTTTAGAATCTTGTAAATGTTTTAAAACTATTAATTTGCCCTTGAGAAAGGAAGGACAAGAAGTCCAGAAGCTAAATTCTGAAGCTTCAGTTCCTTTATACACTTCTGTCCAGATGGTCAATGTCAGATTGGTTTCCAGCAGGCTCAAAAAGACTCTAAACTATTACTAAATAAACCTTATTTCTATGCTGTGCATTTCTACTCAATCAATTCTCATGCTAACATGGTTTGGCAAATGGTTTCTGCTACTGGATAGACAATTTAAACTACCCATACATGCAGTAAACTTCGTAAGTTGACAACAGAGCCCTCGTAATTGAGGTTTAATCTCCTACCTTCCAGCAAAAATACAGATTTAATAAGGAGACAGCAATTCTAAGGAAAACGATCGCTACGTATGTGAATACTCATTAGACATGCACAAATCTTGCCAGTTCTAATTGTGACCTGCCTGGAATCTGTGAAGTCACTCGCCAATTTTTTTTTTTGGCCAGGAGGTGAAAAAGTTCTCCTAATTTCTTTCGAACTGTTTGCTTCTTCCTGAGTAACTAGTTATTTTTCATATGTATACATGAAAATCATACGTACGAAAATGCTATATATATAATATATGAAATTATATATAACATATATGAAAACTATATATGTAATTACTTCCAAACGTAATCAACAATATCTCGCAAAATTTGCATTAAGGGAACCAACCAAGCATGCGTCCGTGTAGATAAGAAGGCTACACTTACTTAGAAGGCAGGAGAGAACTATTATTTTAAACAAGAGATTTCCACATTCGGAGTCGCATCCCGAAATCTCGGCCGAGGTAGCGAGATGGAGCGCGGGCCAAGGGCTCTCTCATCCGGCGCTGAACCCGGGACGGGACTTCGGGAAGCGCCTGTCGGCGGTCTTTCTCCGGCCTCTTAGGTCCCCAGTCATCCGTGGGGATTCCAACTCCCACCCTGGGAAGGAAAATTCTCGTCCAGAGACGTGCATCCCTCTCGGCACTGTCCTCAGAGGTTTCGAGCGACTCGGTGTCACTTTACCCGCCTCAGAAAAACCCAGAGGCGCAGCCGCCACCTGCCTGAGGCCAAGGCAATAAAGCCGCACCACACGGCGAGTCTGAGCCCTGCAGGAAGCGATGGAAAGCTGTATCCTGGGCCCTTTCTCCGCGGCTCTGTTTCTGCTCGGGACCCACCACGCGGACT